CTGTTTAAAACATGGAATTGAATATGTTCAAGATTTAGAATTATAAATTTTGTAAAAATTTACCCCTTATGATTAGAGTAATAAACAAAAATATATTAAATTTCTTTAAAATATGTCGTTGCACCATTCTATCTAATGAAGTGATTTTATCACTATTAATACCTACATTTATCTGGGATATTTTATCTAATAAGTTAAAATTTGAAGCAGGAAAGAAACTTGAAATTGTTAAAGAGTTTTACGCTAACACAAGGACTGAGATTTATTTTTATTTGTTGGTATCCTTTAGTTCGTTATTTCTGATTTATTTTAAAGAACTCTTATTTAATGTGGTAGTCAATAAGTATAGAGAAAAATTCTTAAAATTTGGTATTAAAAATTATATGAAAGGTGGATTTAATGATTACTTTAGTGGTAAAATTCACTATTCTATTATGAGAAGAAATGAATCTTAATTAATCTTCTTTATATTTTTAGTAGTTTTATGGATATTTTTGTAACTATTTTTATTAATTTTGATGTAATAGTAAAAAATTTCAACTTTTTATACTATTTACTACTTTTTATTATAATTGATTTGTTTATTTTATTTATGATTAAATTGAATGTTATATTGCATCATCAAAATAAAAATAAAGTTGAAAATGAAGATACTTTATTAAATAGAATGTTGTTCTTGATTGAAAATAAAACACTCATTAGAATATTTAACAGTGATAAAGTATATAAATACTTAGATTATGATTTAAATAATTATTCTAGAAGTGCTATTAAGTCAGAAAACATGCGTGTTAGTGTTAATAATATTCAATCTATTATTCATGAAATTGGATTTCTATTACTGGTTTACATTTTAAAAATATCAAATTCATCATTAAAATTTGATGAGTTTTATTTTCCTTACTCAACTATTACTAATAATTTGAAGAAAATTAATAATAACACTGTTTCACTTGTACTTAATTATTACATTATCATTAAATTGGGTTACAATGAAAGTGTTGAAGTTAAGAAAATTGATGAAATTAAAAATTTTGATTTTAAAAATATTTCAGTGAAAGAAAGAAATTTAAACAACTTTAACTTGACTATTAAAAAAAGAGAAAAAATTGTTATTGTGGGTCCAAATGGATCTGGGAAAACTTCATTTTTACATGCACTATTGAAAATTAATAAGTTTGAAGGTAAAGCCACGGTTAACGGTGAGGATATTAATGAGGTTGATTATTATCATCTTTTGTCATACGTATCTCAAAAATGCTCCTTATTTGATATAAGTATTTATGATAATTTGGTATTAGAAGGTAAAGTAGATGAAGATTATTTAATGGAAACTTTAAAACGTTTTAATTTTCCGGTTGAAAAGTATAATTTACACCAGAGAATTAACGAAAATTTTAATATGAGCCAAGGAGAAGTTCAATTAATCAATGTTATAAGATGTTTATTAAAACAGGCAGATCTTTATATATTTGATGAACCAACTAATAACTTAGACAAAACCAAGGTTAAGATTGTCTTTGAAAGTATTTTAAATTTAAATGATACTGTTATTGTTTGTACACACAACAATGATTACCTTGATAAATTCGATCATGTTTTTTATTTTAATTAAATTAAATTAAAATTTATTTATTTAATTATGAATAACAAAGAGAAATACACAAATGAGTTAAAAATTGCTTTAATTGGCTTTACGAAGTGTGAAGATTGGATTGATTTTATTAATTGTTTAAATAGGGTAGAGAAGATACTAAATAATAACATAGAAAATCATATGATAGTACTGGCACCTTCATTAGTTAAACGACTTAACCAATGTCTTAATCCAATTCTATCACCTTCTGTACACAAGTCTTGTTTAGGAATTTATAAACTTTTCACAAAGCTTCCTAAAGAGAGTTTAATAGAACAATTTCCTTTATTAACTGTTGGTTTATTTGAATTTTCACTTGACTGTAAATATTTAATATCAGAATACTATTTGAAAATAATAGAAGAGTATATAAGAATAGCAACGAATGTTGATTTCGAAAGAATACAATTATCTTTATTTACATTTCTTGAAGAGAACTTAGGTGAAGTTACTGATTCTGCTAAAAAGTTGGTTAAAAAACTTTATCAGATAACTGATAAACAGAAGTTTTTTTACTGTCTGTATAAAAATTTTATTAATTATCCAGCAATTAGACCTTCAGTGATAGTTTTTATTAAAACTTATTATAACCGTAAAGACATTTATGATTTGTTAATTAAAGATGATTCTTGTTATAGTGATAAGATAGTTAAGTTGAGTGTTAAGTCGTTTATATTGGCATTTAAAAGTAATGATAGTAACCTTATAAAACTCTCATTAGAATTATTTAGTAATATATTTAATCAAAAGTATCCTTTGATGATTTTTAATTATAATAATGAGCTAGTAAAGTATAAAATTTCCTCTGAGTATAAAAAATTAAATGACTCACTTTTAGTTGCTTTAATCAAAGTTTTATTAAAAAGAGAGAATATTCTTAATAATAAGGTTTTTGAGATATTTGAGGAAGTTAAATTTATAACCAAACTTGAAGACAATGTTATTAGTGATACATTGACTATTATATTTAGTGAGGATGTTGGGGTATTTATCAAATTATTACATCATTTTGATAATTTTAATTTAATATTACCAACACTGCTTATTAATCTTGATAAACTTAATAATGATTTTATAACAAAGAAAGAAGATGTTAAGAAGATTAAAGAGTATATTTATAATAACAGTAGTGAGGTATATGAGATAATAGTAAATAATGTAATTGAAATTAAATATATTGAGGAAATTTTAGAACTAATTAATAATAATAAGATATATTTAATAGTTAAAAGGATATTGTGTAATAGGAAGTCATTTGTTAAGAATGTTGAAGATGGAATAATTTTTAATAGAATATTTTTGAGTTATTTAAATCACGAAAATATAACTAAGGAAGAATTTAATTTGACTAGTGAAGTTTATAACTTAAAAAACTATGAAGAGAGTGAATTTTATGAGTATGATATGATTAATTTACTTAACTATACAAAGAAATTTAATGTAGAAAGTATTAATAGAGATTTTATAGAAATTTTAAATATACTTTTTTTATCAAATTATAAGTATAAAATTTTAATAGATAGATTTAGTAATAAAAAGAATGAGATATTAGCTATTATAATTAGAGATTATTTGAAAAATGACGATAGTATTTATTTAATTATGTACATTGAGTATGCAATGGGTAATTTAGATAATTTAATATTAAAAATTTTACTGTATGAAATATTAAATGAAGAGGAGTGTGATGACATAATTAATTCAATGACAGTAAGTTTATGTGATGATATAAGAAATAATCTTAAAAGAAATGAAATAGTAAAACAAAACAATATTAAGTTAAACAAGTTAATGTGTGATGGATTAAAAACCAATCAATTGTTTATTAAGATACTTTATTACTTATTTAGTAATTATTACGATATTATAAACTATAATGATTTGATATTACGTGTTGATAGTAATATTAATGGAATTTTATTAGAATTATTAAACAATAACATGTATGAAATATTAATTGATTTTCTTGAAAATAATGAGAATTTTATTAACACTTTAACAACTGACAATACTTTTAAAGAATTATTTATCAAATATATTAATCAGAAACTAACTAACACAAGTGTTAGAATCAATAATGAATTTAACATTAGTGACATTAACATTTTAAGTAATAATTTGTTTGATGATATAAGTATAGATCCTACTAGCAAGACAAAAACCAAGAATAGATCACATATAGATAATGATGTAGAATTGTTATATAAGATTGTTTATATAATGGATATAAATAATATTAGTGTAGGATCTATTAATCTTGGGAGTATTGATTATAACAATCCTAATATACTTAAGTATACATTTTTCTTAAATGTAAATAACTTTAATATTAATTATTATATTAATTATTCAACTGTGTTACTTAGTGAACTTAAAAGACTTGGAAATTTATATTTATTTAATACTATTTTATTTG